AAAAAAATCCAAAACTCCGTATCGGTATCTGCTCCAATACTGCCATTTTCTGCTGGATCGGGTATCAGTCAGACGAGACGATCCAAATCCAATATTAAGCGTATACTGTTTTGTTATTGTTAAGACCCACGAAAAGCACAAAAACCATAAAGATTATGCACCGTTTTCCAAGTGTTCTGAAGCTGATCTATAGTTTAATTTGATACAGATGAACATTCAAGTTTTTAAATTCAAGTTCACAAACTCTTCTCTCCGCTGCGGCTGTTATCTTCCATTCAGGATTCAAACTGCGTGTCACGCTTTGTTACGACTGTCAAGACTATGAAACTCCCAAAATAATTCAATGTTCCTATTATTATTTTTGATCTGTAAAAAAAGATCAAATGGTTTTGCATTAAAAGTACTGTCTTGCTGGAGTTTATTGCGGTTTCTAAATCAGGTTACTTACTACCATATGTCTGCTAGATCACAACTGAATGTTCCGATTATTATTTTTGATCTGTAAAAAAAGATCAAATGGTTTTGCATTAAAAGTACTGTCTTGCTGGAGTTTATTGCGGTTTCTAAATCAGGTTACTTACTACCATATGTCTGCTAGATCACAACTGGAGTAGACAGCACTATGAACTGTTATTCACGTGCACAGTAACTTAAATTTAAAACCGTTAAAAGACTCAAACTACCGCACAGATATAATACACTACACATCAATAGCTCTTCCCTTTGTGCTTTGAACTTTTCTATGCAGAGTGCTGCACACTGACTCCATGTTGCTTCAAGTGCATCATTCTGCACACCGGATGTTAGTTTGTGCAGGTAGTCAGTTTGTGCCACTCTGTATTGGAGCCTTTCATATTAGAATACTTTTGCGCAATGAAAGATGAATAGCCTCTCTTGTTCTGTCCTATTATATGTTACTGCCTCATTACTGTGCTGTACATTTAAAATAAATGTCTTTTAATTTCTCTCAGACCCACAGGCACAACAAGCTCAAGTTGATGTTAACTAGGACACTTTTGCATAGTTTGTTTCCAGGTATTAGAGATTAGGAAATGTGTTACACCAAACCTCCAAGTTTCAGATGAGAGATCTGAAAGTAAACTTGCAGAAAGAGTCTCGGTAATGTCCAAGGCGAGTTAATTCTAGCTATGGATGCCAGCATGAGGACTCAAATTGACAAAGCTATAAAACAAAACGGTGTAAGACATGTACAGAAGAAAAACTGATTAGTAGAGCTGCATCACTTCCTGCACCTGAAGTAGAAGTAGGCGACAATCAGGAATGTGCTGAAAGCACATTAGGAGTAGTAAAAGAGTAATATAGATTGCCTTAGCCGCAACCTCGTTTTGACTGGTCAAGATAGATTCAGATCTATAGAAGTTAGGTCTCAACAGAAGGCTGAAGTATCTGCATCAGAGCTGATGCTGCAAGCACAAAATCACTGATAGTTTTGAAGTCAAAATTCCATAGCACAAGATACAGAAGTAGTTGCAAGAATGCATTACGCAAAACAAACTTTCCTAGTCCGGTGACAAACAGATCTTAAACTGAAGTTAAGCCCTTAACCGTCACTCACATTTTAGAACATAAACGTGAAAGTGCACGATCCAAACTTACATTTTTATAATTCATGAACGAAAACGTTGTAACATATTGATGTACCATTTTCATGGTAATGCAATGTTTGATTTTAAAATGGGTTTCAAATTAGGAATTTTGAGATTTAAAGTTTTCAATTGATATATAATTTCTGATGATTTCTAAAGTGTGATAGAGAAAAATTATCATTATCAGAGTCACTGAACAAAAGAGGCATAAATACAAGATCAAAACCATAACTAAAATGGAACATGGACTCAAATTATACAAAAAAGGAAATGCCAAACAAAAAGGGGTAAATTAAAAAAGGACAAGAAAAGTCATAAGCATAAGTGCACAACAGGGGAGGGGGAGGAAAACCCCATCTAGAAAAGGGGTCCAAAGAGCACAAAAGATTAAAAAAAATTTTTTTTTAAAAAGGCATAATATAGGGACAACAGCATAAAAGCATAAGATGGGACTCTAGAGGCATAAGTAACGCAAGGAGCATTTTTGAATATTGAAAGTGATTTTTGTATGTTTATGCATGTATATTTCAAGTTATACTGCATCACATGACTTGGTCAATTTCATATTTAGAACAGTCTTCAGGGTTTAATATGGTCTTTTAACAGTTCCTTAAAACCATATTTAATTTGAAGCTTGGAAAAGTGTAAAATAGTTCAAGTTTGATTTCTGTTGTAACCTGACATTGTGCCCAACCCCTGGAAATGGCAGTGTAACAAAGGATTTGACAAAACCATAAAGAAAAACCATAAAAATTGTAGAAAACCACTACCGAAAGACTTTACATTGGAATTGCATGACGGTGTAAATTGGATGGCCAGGTTTGATGCTGCATTATTTTTAGTAAAGAGGATTTACAAGGATTATGAAAGACCACATAACGGCACATAATGAAAGCCAAAAGTCAAGTGCGAATTACCCATTCGGATAGAATTTAAACCCATCAGTTTGAAACAGGACTCAAGGTAAATGTTTAACTTAAGTAGTTTTTAAAATTACTACATGGACAAAGCAAAAGATTCTGCCGACTCAAATTGGCCACAAGAGGGCAGTCAAGTGGATGCATAAAGCACAAGAGGAGCCTCTGAACAGACTCCATTTGAGAAAGCCAAAAAATAGCTTAAAAATGAAAGAAATTGACAACTCAAATGTTGAAAGCACACATAAAAACCAAGTAGTTCTTACAACACTCAAACTGTAAACGAAAACATGCAAGAGCTTTGACTGGATGAAGAAAATGAGAATGATTGGCATCTGGTTTGAGCCCAAATGGAAAAGGA